CACGCATAACTTTAAGACTTGGTGGTTGAGAGAGCACACAATTCATGCTGGGCAGCTCTGATGGAGAGTACTTATCTGTGGGGGATGGAGGGCTTTGCTCCAAAGTCATCAGGAGCCTATGCTGCAATTCACCTATGGGAGCTTCCAGAGGCTCCAAATAGCAGCTGTCCATGCTACTTCCACAGCAGCCTGCACTGTCACAGTCTTCCCTTGTTCTGGGCCCCACTCAGAAACAGGAGCTTTTCAGGTCACTCCATAAATGGCCCAGAGTAGCACTGCCAAATGATGAATATGCTGCCTCCAAAATCTAAAGAGGCCCACTGGGCATTGTGCCTACTTATTGGTCATAGGAGGGGCCAGATGCAACACCTTCTCTTTCACTTCAGGAGGGACTCTGGACATGTCTCACAGCATTGGGCTCTCCCAATGTCACTGAGGTAGAAGGCCCCAGGTTTTTATCAGTTGTATTTTCACCCTCTAACATGAAAATATCTGCTGAAACTTTCAATGTAGTTGTATTTCACATTCACTGGGTTCAATCCGTCGAAATAACATCATCACTGTAACGGACAAATGTGATGTCTCCAAGGAGAGAAAGGCAATCAAGACCATTAGGATTTAAATTTTGAAACTGGCCAAGGCAGGCTGGGGTTGTGGCTCAGTGGTAGCAAGCTCATCTAGCACATGCAAGGCCCTGGGTTCTATCCTCAATACCACATAAAAATAAATAGAAAATAAAATAAAGGTATTGTTTAAAAAAAAAAAAAAACTGGCTGAGGATTTGGTATACCCTGGAGGAAGACATGGTGTGTGTCCTTTTCACCAAGGTGGTGCTGAAAAGAAAGAAGGAAACTCCTCCCCTATCATAGCCTAAGCCAAGGCACGGACCACCAAGAAGGCTGTGTGGAAAGGCGTGCGTGCACATGATCCAGAAGTTGTGTAATTCCATGTCACCATCACCATGAATGAGGACTCAGGTTCATTCCTCAGTACAAAAAAAAAAAAAAAGTAGAGGAAGAATAAGATTAACCTGTCACACCTATCTTATGGGGGTGGGGGCAAAGAACACTGCCTGACACTCAGGAGGCAGCCCCCAAATCCTGAGAAGATTGCCCCAGAGAACTTTGTTGGACCATGATACCATCATCAAACTCCCTCTGACCACTGAGTCTGCCATGAGGAAAACCGAAAAGAACGATAACACACTTGTGCTCGTTGTGGATGTCAAGGCCCAAAAGCGTCATACATGTGGGCACACACTAGTAATCCCAGCCACTCGGAAGGCTGAGAAAGCAAGATCACAAATTTGAGAGCAGCCAGGGCTACTTAGACCCTGTCTCAAAAATAAAATAAAGAGGGCTGGGACATAGCTCAGCACTAGAGCACTTCCCAAGCATATAGATGGTCCTTGAGTTCAGTTCCAACTCCTCCAAAAATATATGTATATTTTTAAGTCCCTCCAGGTGGCATTAATCTCTGCTATCCATCCAAAAACAAGAACCACCAACCAACCAACAGCAACAACAACAAATGGGGTGGGGGGGGCAAAATGACCAGATTATACAGCTCTGAAGAAGCTCTATGACATTGACCTAGACAAGGTCATTATCCTGACGAGGCCTGAGGGGGGAAAAAGTCATATGTTCACCCGGTTCATGAATATGATGCTTTAGATACTACGAATAAAATTAGGATCATCTAAATTGTAGCAACCTGACAATTCTAAATATATGTATATTTATATGTAAAGAAAATTAAAACACTGATCACTTATTTCTGGTCTTCAGAGCTGGTGGACCTCTTGAACACTAATGGAGGAAAAGACGTTGAGCAGCATATCAGATACCAGGGTGCGTGTTACTTTGCTCAAACAATAAAACTTCGTCTAATACAGCAGTTACAATTGGAGTCACCACCTGGATAATTTTTTAGCAATCACCATGGTCCTCCACTTTCTGCACAGGCCAAACAGGTGGGCTGAATGGGGTAATTTTTAAGTCATTAATCTCTGCCATCCATCCAGGAGTGCAGTATTGTTTGCCTAGGAGGAGGTAGTTCTAGTGGCTTCTGCTTGGTCTCCCTACCACAAAGCACCCACAGAAACCACCCTGGAGATCATGCCTGTTGCTGAGGTGGTTTTTTCTAATTGGCAACTGTGGGAGTACCACAGGGTAGGTTTAGGAACTCCGTGTCAAACATGGAGACAAACATGTCATTTTCACAGACCCTTTCATGCTGTCCCTTCCCAGAAGATAAAGTAAAACACTGACCAGATATATGTCATATTTAATAGCATTTAAAAATGTGGAGTGTAAACCTATCCAGATAGGAGGTAAGACAGAGTGTCAGAGAGGGCTTGAAGGGCCCTCAACAGTCAAGGAAAGCCAGTATTTGAAGTTTCTTGGGAAGAGACAGAACAAGGACAACTACAAATAAATCTCACTTGTTAAAATATCATAATTTATATAAATGATATGTGAAAACATAATAAAATATTGAGGCTACCTAGTACAGTAGAGCTGTACTGGGCTGGACTAACCCCCTCACATATGCTCCCCAGTGCCAACAGTTAGTAAACATGTGTGTCCATATTGCAGCGATGAGGTAACCAAGGCACCAAGAGGGAAAGTGCTGGTCAGTTCAGGGCTGCACCCTCTGTACTTCCTAAGAAGCCTCAGGAGCTCTCAGCAGAGGCTGACACCCCAGCTGTGTGGATCCAGTGTGGTCACTTGGTGCCCTCTGCTGCTGATCCAGGACTTTTAAGCTCACGAGTTCTGGGGAAGGAGGGAAATGAGTCAGTGTTCAATTGGTCGTAGAATATTGCTCTATGCCATTGGGATCTCTCTGTCTCCTCAGTTCAAATCAGATTTGGCCCTTCTCTGAGGGAAGTAAATGCCCTGACTTTTTCTCCCTCCCATCCCATTTTCCTGCCCTCATCAGGCTCCTCTGCGTCTCCATCAGCAGCGTCACCTGTCTCTGTTTCCACCACAGAAGGGAGTGAAAGGGCTGCAGGATTCCAGGTCAAGACAAGGAAATGAAGCCCAGTGCCCCCTCCTCCAGGGACAGTAGTGGCCTCCCAGAGAGAGCGGCTCCTGCTCCTACCACACTGGGCACCAGGCTCACACACAACCTTTCTCCCCCTTAGTTCCCAGGCCTCCTCCCCTGCAGAGGCAGGTGCTGACCCAGCAGGGCCTGCCCCACCTGCAGCTCAGCATCCCTCTCTCCCTGAGCCAGCAGCTCCTAACTGGAAAGTCCACCAGGAAGCCCAGGGGCACCAGCACACAGACCCAGCCTGGACAAACACATGTGCCACATGATCTGCTGCTCCCCTGCCTACAACAGCCCATGCAGAGGACACTCAGAATCACTGACCCTCTGCACCTGCCCAGGCTCTCAATCTGTACTTTTGCTTCCTCCTACTGGTATGGTCTTCCTTTTTCCTGAGGCTTCCCTGGACTCAATACCTCCACTCCATCAAGGACTCACATAGGCCACAACCCTAACAGGTCACATGGGTCTTCTTCCCAAAGCAGATTAGGAGGTTTCCTGAGATCCAGCAGTGTGGATTGCCATGGCCATACTCCAGGTCTCCCACCTGGGGCTCTCCTATAGAGTGATCTCAAGTGTCACATTACTGCACATTACCACATGGGCACTGGAGAACTGCTATTCACATCATAGAGCTGAAACTGGGAACATCCTGAGAGTCAACATTTAAAGTAGAAATTTGCACAAATAAACAACAGGCCTTTCCCACTCTTTTCTTGGGCACAGCCCTAGTGATATTCCAAGCAAACATTTCTGACCAGAGGAAAGTAGAACTAACATTCCCCTTGCTCCCCCTGCTGGAGAGGCCACAGGTGAGAGCAGCAGAGAGTGCACAGTTGCCTGGCCTACTAGTGGAGTCACCTGGAGGGACCCTGCTGTGGGGCAGTCTGCCCTAGCCTGTGGGGACCAACACCCCTGGGGGCTACCTGGGAAAATTCCTGACATCAGAGAAAATGAATAACCACTGCTGCCCCCAAATGGACTGGTCTCTTTCTCCAGATGGTCATGGTCATCAGCTATTCTCCTGTCCATGTCATCTGTAAGGCCACTAGGAGGAAGAGCTGTGTGGTGGGGACTGGGAGGCCTGAGTGACCCAGAGGACATATTGAGGAGGCAGTTCCTGACAGGGGGGCGGAGGTGCTGCCCACAGAACAAAGGAGGTGCCTGTGCTGCAGAGCCACGGGCCTGCTGTATACGGGCCTCCCAGGGCCTGCACTGGCAGGACTCTTGCAATGTCAGTCTTTTTCTTGTTTGCTCATGATACCTGGAGAGGCTGGCAGAGAGCAAGGCAGACAGGAAGGAACCAGAGGCATCAATGCTCATGGGATTCTTCTTCTATTTCTAAGCACCCAAAGATCATGACACATTTATTCTGTGTCCCCCAGAGGCCATGATAATCTAGCCCACACCAATCAGCCCACCATTCCCAACACAGCCCCATGGACAAGCCAGCAGGGCCTGAGAGAGAGACAAGGACAGAGCAGGAGCCATGGCACCACAGCTGCTCACTCCTCACCCTGCAGCCAGAAGAGGCTACCGCTGGACAGTGAAGGAGTTGACAGCCCTGGCTTTGGGCAGCACTAAGGGGTGTAGCTGGAGGCATGTCTTCCCTCCCCTCACAGATACACAGACCTCCATCCTCTCTTCCAAAGGCTGCTCAACTCCATTGCTCTCTGAGCAGCAGGAGGCATGAGGGGCCCTACATCCCAGACAGGCCCTGCCATCTTCAGCCACTGAATGATTTTCTCACCTGAACCCTCTGCAGCTGATGTCCTCCTCTTCTTGCAGGAAGGAATACAAGAAAATAATCCCAGCAGTAACAGTGGATACCACGACAAAGGTGGCCATTGGCTCTCAAGCAGCAGTGCAGTCCCTGAAAGCAGGCTTGTTACACTCTGGGTACCACAGTCTCAAGGCTTCTCCCCTCTCACCACCCGGGGTCACTGACTCACCTGGTTGGAAACTCCGGCAGGAATGCCCAGGCTCACCACAGGACACAAGGCCAGTGCTGTTGTTCCCTCTTGAAAAACCAGCCTCTATCTCAGAGCAAAGCCTGTCCAAGGAAGGGACATCACCTTTGTCCTTGGAAAAACCCACAGAGCACTCCTAGGCACATTCCCACCCTGCTAAGTTGTTTATCTACAAATAACAGGAGAGATCTGCTGCACCAGGTGTCCCTGACTCAGTCAGGCTAGGTGGGGATCCATAGCAACCCCCTAGCAGCCACCAATCAGCATGAGACAGGGAAATACCTGGGATGCCAGATAACCCTCCCAGTAGTTTATGGTGATTGGGAAACCATGTAGTGCAGCAGGAACACCGCTCTTGGCTTAAACCAATCAGTTCAAATGAATACCCCTTTTGTACTGACCAATCACCCCTACCCAACTTGTTCCCACCAGTGAATGTGCTAATCATGTTTTAGAGTTGTTATTTGATTTTCCCGAGGTGTGTGATGATTTGCTATGATGTATGTGAAGTCCCTGCCCTCTCCAAAGAATGTATAAAACTGCTGCAAACTCTGGGCTCAGGGCCTCTCAGCGTCACCAGTTGCTGTGTGTGTGCACGGAGGACTGAGCTAGCTCGCAATAAACACCTCTTTGCTACTTACATGGATCTTGGGTCTCTGGTGGTCTTTGGGGGTCCCGAATTCGAGCATAACACTTTGTATCCCACATAGCAGCAGAACCTCTGCTCTTGTCCTTGGGGAATCCTAATGGACACCCAGGTCTGGTAGGTCCCATTCACATAGGGAAAAACACCCCAAGATTGCTGGGTGTCCTGGCTCTGTGGTTCCCCATCCTGAAGCCAGGTCACAGAGATATTCTGGGGATAGAAGCCAAAAGCCCAACATGTCATGTTGATGGTGTCCTCCAGGGCCTCACCACAGGTCACATTTACTGCTGGGGACACTAGAGAAGGAAGGGCAAAGTTAGTCAGGCATGTGACCAAAAGTCGCTCCCCTCTAAGGGGTGGAACAGGGCTGTCTTCTCCACTCTTCTGACTATTGTCAAAGTCCTCATTGAGCTCAGATCCTGAAAGTCTGTTCTCAGCCTGGGGCCTGAGTCCTCTAACTAGCAGGAGCATGGGCCTCTGGCTTGTGGCCTCGCATTCTCACTTCCACATATTGAAGTTGAGGAGAGGCTGTTTCAGGGACTCCTGGTTTTTGAGGTCCTGAAGGGCATTTGGGGGAGGTCCAGGGTTGTGGAGCCAGGTTGGAGCTCTCTATATTAGCAAGCTGGCAGGCACTTAGGCAGGGGGGGACTCACTAGTGTCTGGGCACATACAACCTCTTGTCTCTGTCTAGTGGTGTAACAGGACAGGAAAACCACAACAGACACACACAAAAGCTCACACAAGTTCCCCTGGGCAGAGGCTCCAGAGGAGAGAGAGGAGCCCTTCCAGGAGACTTGATATCTCCTGAGTCTTCCACAAAGCTCTCCCTGCACGTGGGCCTGGTAAACCTTGCTTTGAATGCCATCTGCATCCCAGGAATTCTTGACTTCCATTGCCAAGGTCTGAGCTGATGATGGTTCTACTTTCCAGCTGAGTGTCTCTGGGTGATAGGAGAGGAAGGGCTCCCCATCATTAGTGGAAATTCCAGAAGCCCCTGGTGTGGTTGTCCTCTTCAATCTTGCAACCCCAAGTCTCCTGGAGGGAATGAGACCCTGCCCCCACCCACCAGTCACTTCTCCATCCCCTGGCCCTTATGCCTCCCTACCCACCAAGTAGAAACTCCAGCCCACAGAAGACCCCCAAAGTAATTCTCCTCAATATCCCATGTGCTGAGCTGCATGGAGCCCATTTCTTGCCCTCCCCAGTCAACTGCAGTGAAAACAGACAGGACCCTGCTCTTTGCCACCAGTCTCCCAGGAGAAAGCTCATGTCACCCTTGCTCCCACCCACACTCACCTCCTTTCTGCTCCTGCTGGGCATTGATTTCTGCCAGGGTTGCTTTTAGATTCTGGCCGTGCTCTATTAACTCCCAGATCTCTGTGTCCCAGCTCTCAGTTCCCAAAGGTTTTTCTGCCCATAGCTCCTGGGGCTTTGCACTTTCTTTATCATGATTATCATAGTGAAGAAAGAGCTGATGGTCCCAATAACAATCAGCAAAAAACCTTGATTGCACTGATCCACCTTGGAACCTCACTGTGAGGTTATAGTGAAGACTGTGGGTCCCTGTGGAAGAGGAAACAGCTGATGACCCTTCTACCTGTGAACAAGTGCTCACCCATGCTCACCACAAAGGCTCTGCTGTCCTGAGCACCTGAGGAGGCAGCAAACACACAGACAAAGGGACAGAAGAAAGATTTCCAATGCAATGAAGACAGGAAAGTAGAGAGGAAGGAGAGGTGAAGTGAGGAACGGAGAAAGGGGAAATGGAGAGGGGCAGCATGTAGGCCAGGGCCCAAGACAAGGCCACAGACTTGTTTAGGGTATAGGGAGTGTTTGAAATGAGAGGCTGGAGCCAGGTGCTGTGGCACACAACTGTAACTCCAGCGGCTTGGGAGGCTGAGGCAGGAGGATCAAAAGTTAAAAACCAGCCTCAGCAAAAGTGAGGCACTAAGCAACACAATGAAATCCTGTCTCTAATTAAAACACACAATAAAGTCTGAGGACATGGCTCAGTGGTGGAATGCCCCTGAGTTCAATCCCTGGTAGAAGAAAGAAGAAAGAAAGAGAGAGAGAGAGAGAGAGAGAGAGAGGGAGAGAGAGAGAGAGAGAGAGAAGGAAAGAAAGAAAGAAGAAGAAAGAAGGAAAGAGAGAAAGAAAGAAAGAAGGAAAGAAAGAAAGAAAGAAAGAAAGAAAGAAAGAAAGAAAGAAAGAAAGGAAAAGAAAAGAAAAGAAAAAATAATGGAGAGGGTGGCAGGGAGGGCCCAGGAGGGAAGGAGGACCCATGACCACTGGTATTCAGCCCAGGCAGGGCAGGGGCCCAGAGGGGTGTGCTGCCTCTGCACAGACTTCTCACAAATAAGGTGGGGCAGGCAGGAATGGCAGTGGGAGGGAGGGTTGTAGCCCCAAAAGTGTTGAGTGCTGTTGTACCCTAAAGGAATGTAAAGCTGTGGGCTGGGTCCTAATCAGCATCTTGAAGCTCCAGATTGAGAGATCCTGCTAGCATCTCCTGGGCCTCCACAGGTCTCAGTTTCCAAAGACCTGATACATCTTTTCAATAGATGGCACTAGAAAAAATGGATTTCCAAATGCAAACAACAAAGTTGGACAATTTACTTACTCACATACAGATATTTACTCAGAACTGGGGATGTAACTCAATGATAGAGTGCCTGCCTACAATGTGCAAGTGCCTGGGTTCAATACTTAAGAGTGTGTGTGTGTACACACACACACAAACTCAAAACGAAAAGTAAACTATAAAACCAAATAGTCTTAGAAGAAAACACATTGGCAGCTGGACGTGGTGATGCATGCCTATAATCCTAGCCACTCAGGAAACTGAGGCAGATGAATGCTAGTTCCAGGCCAAACTGGCAACTTAGTGAGACCTCGTCTCAAAATAAGATATTGAAAAGTCCTGGGGGTAGCTCAGAGGTAGATCGCTTACTGGCATGTGAGAGATCCTGGGTTCAACTCTCACTTTCATATATATATATATATATATATATATATATATATATACACACACACACACACATATATACACATATATATATACACACACACATACATTTCATATAAATATATAGATAGATATATACACATACATATACACACACACTATACACACATAATGGAAAATGTGTTTGCAATAATCTTCACAACAAAGGATTTGACCACATTTTCAATGATATGACACAAAAATCACAGACACTATAGAAAAATAATTAATACATTGGACTCATCCAAATTAAAAACTTAAAAACTTCAATATATCAAAGGATATGCACAGAAATGATGACCTGCAGGATGGGAAAAGATATTTGCAAGTCACATATCTAATAAGAGATGAACATTCAGAACATATGAAGAACTCCCGAGCTTAGATTAGCTCAGTTGTGGGGCACTTGACTAGCCATGTGCAATGTCTGAGATTGATCCCAGCTCCACATACAAGCAAACAAAAAAGAATCTCAACAACTCAACCATATAAAATATTTCAACCTATTCAGAACTGGCAAAGGCCAGTTACCTAAGGAGTTATACAAATAGCCAATGAGCACTTGAAGAGATGCTCAACATTAGCAATCATTAGGGAAATGAAAATAAAAGCACAATAAGATTCCACTTTGGACTCATGAGGATGGCTACTGTTTAGAAAAAAAGAATGCAGAACAAACAAGTTCCTAAGTACATAGAAAACTGCAGCACGGGGGGAGCACTTCTTCCTATATATACAATGGAGCAGCTGTTATGAAAATTGGATGGTGGTTCCTCCAAATGCTCAAAGGATACTTTCTAAATGATCCAGTAATTCTATTTCTGGATATAAACACAAAAGTAGTAACGGCAGGTAAGTGCAGAGATATTTGTAGGTGCAAATTTATAGCAGCATTGTTTCCAAAAGCCAAAAGATAGAAGTAACCTCAGTATCTATCAACTGAGGAGCATCTAATCAAAATATGGCTTTTATGCAGAATTGATATTATTCAGCATTAAAAACAAAGGACATTCTGACAATTGCTACACCAAGGATGATCATGAGGACATTATGCTAAGTGAAGAAGACAGTCATGAAAGGACAAATTCTGAATGACTGCACTTGTATGAGGCACTTAGGGAGCCAAATTCATAGAGACAGAATGTAGAATGCTGCAGAAAGAAGACAAGGACTGGGGTGGGGAGGATGGATGCTTACTGTTTAATGGGTACAGAGTTTCAGTTTCCACAAAAATGTGAACACACTAAATGCCACTGAATTGTACACTTAAAATGGTTCAAATTTTAAACTGTACATTATGTCTATTTTACCACAGTTAAACACCAAACAGAAATCAGGGCAGTGTACTACAGATTAATGTAGAATCAGAAAGAAGAAAGAGGTGTAGGCCTGAAAAGAGAAAATCAAGGCTGGTGGACTAGTTGCACAACCTGGGGGAGGCCCTTCAGAATGGGAGGGGGTGGTGGGAGCTGGTCACACCCCAAAAATGCACCAGGTTAGAAAACCATTACAGGTGGTTGAGGGGTTGCTCAGTGGGGGAGGGCATGGTTGAGGCCTTGGGTCCAATGACCAGAACAAAGAAAGGAATAACCAAAGGAAAACACTCCAGGAGGAAGCTGGTGCTGGGAAAGGACAGAGTAAGGGAACAGCAGGAGCAACTGAGTAGCAAAACACAGATTTTGGATGCATAGTGAAGGGAGCCAAAGTCCTCTGAGGTAAAGGAACCAGAAGAAGGGGGAAGGTCAAGAGGTAGGTGGACCAAGAGCCTTCTTCTGGTATGATGGGGAGGGGAGATAAGAAGGGCAAACAGATTAGTGGTCTGGGCAAGGAATGACCTGGAGTATGTGGGGTGAACATGGCATACAGGTGACCCTAGGAGAACTTGGGTTAGGGTGAGGA